TTAAAATAAATTCCCAAAATAGCTTTAATATCCAAGTATTGAAAACCTTTTCCACCTTCATAACATTGAGCTTTATTCAATTCAGCTGGACTAGATTTTTTTATTACCTCAACCACATGATCCAGACAATCTGCTCTTGTTCTTCTGTAGAGTTTTTAATCATCCCAAAATTACCATCACATTTGAATTTAGTGTGCCCAGCAATCATGAAATTTAATTCAATGCTTTCATAGTAACCACATATTACCAAATATAAATAGAACCAAATTGTTACATTATTTTTATTTTGTCCTCCAGCATTATCACAAGTGATCTTTAAATGCTTTTCTCCTTTATTCAATTTCTTAATTCCATCAAAAATTATACTAAGAGTGCCATTGGGTCCTTTTCCTATAATTTCATCTTCGTTAAGAATATAATTAATTTGCTCCCTTACTGCCTCATTTTGAATACCAAATATATGAACTTTACATGGACTAAGGTAATAAATTTTACTTACTTGTTGATCTAAATGTGGCACATGAACATTTTGGGCACAATCATAACTATAATGTGCAGTAGCATTAATACCACAATATTGTGTTTTACCCTTGGAATAATGTTGATCAACTAATTTCCTTTGTTCTTCTGCTAACTTGGTGTTTTTATTGTAATAATTTCTTTCTAATTTGGCTTTAGACAGATGTTCTTTAAATTTTTTGAGCAAATCTTTAGCTTCTTCCTCTTGACGAGCATTATAATGTAAACCATCTCTAAAATGTTGACAAGTATCACATAGATCAGTCCTTGGACTCATAATTTGAATCTCTGGTGTCAATTGATGTCATAATTTTCTGAAGGCATCATATCTTAAGGATTTTAATTTGTTATCTTCTTCTAAACCAGCCAGAAAATCTCTGTGTACTGATTTATAACTCATTTCTGCTGATAAAAATATAACTGATTGAGTTATTCTATTGATACTTCTGCCTGGACTTGGTAATCCATGGACTTCTGCATAATTTTCTAGAAAATTCTTTACTACTTCTGCAATATTTTTATCAATCACCATTTTGGTTTTTCATTGAGGCATCTTCTTTATATTGCCATGAACTCTTACTAGAAGGCCATTGTTTATCAGATGATTTCTAAGATTCTCAAAATAAGTTCTACCAATTCCTAGCATATTGAGATAAGTTTTTTGGCAGAGTAGTGTATTGTGATCCCAGTGATAGAAAGTTCTTTTGTTAGATCTAGTTCTCTTTTTAAGGCGTCTACTGATGCTTGTTGATCCACCATTCATTACTTTAAGTTGGGCCATTAAGAATATGTCTTGTTCTGATTTAGTGAGAGCTTGAAAGGATTCCCTTAATTCAGCAAATTCTCCTTTGGGAATTCTTGAAGAGCAATCACAATTACAACCTTTTTCCAAAAAATTGATTGCCTTTTCATATTCATTAGAACCATTATATTTATTATTTTTCATATACACTTATCCCTATATATATAATTTTATGTTCACTTTGTGGCTTTTTTATAATTTAAATTTAACATTTGAATGGAAAGCCAGTGTTCAATTTATTATAAAAAATCTTGACAATCTTGACAAAAGAAATACAAATAACGAATTTAGCTTTAGTTTTACAAATATATCATTTCATTTTTGAATGAATTTAATTAGGTGTAAATTAAGAGCAATTATGATTGGTGTATATTTAAAAAGTGAAAGAAATAAGAATATTGCTATTTGTGATGATCTTATCTTTTTAAAAAATTAAAAAAATATGTTTTTTTCATAGAATATTTTCTACAACATACATTTGATTTATTTGATTTATTTATTTCCTTTTTTTTATTAATAAATAAAAGTTATTTTATTTACAACAAAAAAAGTTTAACGAACATATTACATTAAAAGAAAATCGTTACCAAATTGGTCATGAAATTTAAAATATTGGAATACCTACCTCGGTTACACGAATCCCAACTCAGTACCCCCATGATTGGTATATATATAGAAAATAAGTAAATCTTATCTTAAAAAACCTTGTCATGTAACCGAGGTAGGTGTGGTAAGAGTTTTCAAAATATTGTAACACAAAGATTATTTGAGACAAATTTTTTTTTATGGTGCGCCGCATCTAAAGACATCAAAAAAAATTGCAAATCTTTAAACCCTGATAACTTTGGAAATATTTGTTAGCCCATAAAAAACTCTCTATTTTTGCAATCTTTGGAACATAAACAATAATGCAATAGAGCATTTTTTAAAGTTAATTAGTAAAATAAAAAGTTATGGAAGTTTAAAATTAAGTAATTTTATTACTGATTTAAAAATTCAGCACACCTATCAAACTAATTTGACCAATCAGGAAACTAATATAGATCAACTTTTATCACGTGATGAATCTAACAATTTTTTCTTAATTCTTTCAAAAATCACACACAAAAAATGGTGGTTATAGACTTTGCACACCATACAATCAGAAGTATTTTGAAAAAGGAAACAAGGTGAGAAAATTATTCCCTATATTAATATTTTCAAATAAATGATACTCAGACATATGAATCTTATCAAAAAAGGAAAGAAACTTAAGATATATAGTTATCTTAAGAGATGGGTAGCCACAAAGAGATAATCGATTAGGCCACTCTAGTGATGATTACTATTAACTTATTAATTTTAAGGAAAAAACACGAAAAGGACAAATTTAAATAATTCAACTGTGAACATTTAGAAATTATAAAACAATATTTTATTTGGACACATGAATACAAAAAAGGAAACTAGTAACACAATCCCAATTTGACAGTATTTGAAACGAATGCAATGAGCATGACAAAGATCAACTTTATTGGTTGTAGAACATCTAGGTATTAAAGTGGCAGCTTGATATACCAACACTGGACTATATATAATAGTAATACAGATAATCATGTATATGATTTATATGGGGTGGTACTGAACATTAATACTAAACATTTATACAGGATACAGCACATCGGGTACAGGTACAGGCATCTTTTGATTTAACAGGCAAGTGTCATATGATGGACAATAATACATAATCACTTATTTGAAAATAACCTTATTATCATCTCCATATCCATTGCTGTTGTCTATCAAATGTATTAATTGAATTTAGTTTTGTGCAAAACTGTAATTGTATTTCACTTAAATTTTTATATCTTTAAGTGCTCAATACTTCATGAATTTTTTTTTAGAAGACTTATTGGAGAATCATCTACTTCAACAACCCAGTTGATTTGATTGATTGGTGTGGTTGATTCATTACTTTTCAGAATATTAGAAAATATTTCATGGTTAGTATCCAGAATTACCTATATAATTTTATGTTTTGCTTAGAACTCATACATGTACAAAAAAAAACATCATGGAAAAAAACTTACATGAAATCTAATTAATTGAATTACAGTGAACCCTTCCTAAGTGCACCCTCCCTAAATGCATGCACTATGTATCCCTCCATAAATGCACACCCTCCATAAATGCATGCTCACAAGAAATAGCACTATGTTCCCGAGGGGGTGCACTTATAGAGGGTCCACTGTATGGAATTTTTTAGACTTTTGAAGTTGTTTATAGTAGAAGGAAGGGTGATTGAGAATATTTTGTAAAAAACATATAGTTCTGGTGCAGGTAGGTGCATCACAAAGATTCGCATTTCAAGCTCTAATTTCAATAATTAAAATTAGACTCAACAACTTAATAAAAAATTTAAAAAAAATTCATATAATCACTTGATGTACAAATTCCATAAACTTCAATTTTTCTGATTTTGCTCTTTTTTCTTCTTTTGCCAATTTGTCATGAATTGTAGTAAGTTGATTGTGCATGAGAACTGCAAGTTTAATCTTATCACCCTCATTTTTTGCAATATCATCAGTAAGTTTTGATTTGGAAGATTCTATGACTGCAATTTCTACTTCATGCTTTTTATAAATAACGGTCATATCAGGTATCAACCCGTGACAAGTTGCAATACTAGACGAATTACATCGAATTTTGTTTGTGTTGTGAGTGCTGTTAATTATAAGTTAAAATAGTAAATACCAAAAATTGAATACATATATATATATACAGTATATTGTATTAATAAATAAAAAAAATAATTACACTCCCAATTCAACTGAATATAGTTTAGCATGTAACAAACTCATTATGATAGGCATATGTAATACCGAGTTCAAGTGCATTTTGGAGAAACCCATTTTAAAGTAACTTTCATTCAAGAGAAAGAAATTTGTGCTAAAAATAAATAAATAAATAAATAAATAAAATTTCCTTATAAAAAAAAAATAATACAGTGAACCTCATTAAAATGAAGTATAGTAAAATCTTGTTACAGTGAAATTTTTTGCTTGCACCAGTTTATTCTTTTATAATGCTTTTATAATTAACTGTCACTCATTACAGTGGACAAAAAAAATGTTTTTTTCAGTATGGAACTAAGGGATTCACTGTAACGAGATTTGACTATATCTATAAATAAATACTTACAACACACACACTGTGCACACAATGAAGTTTAAGATGGTTGCGTTTATATCAAATTTTCTAAGGTCTTCGAATTTTGAATACATATTCAAAAAGTTCACTGCATTGTCTGTGGTTGATATAAGACTGATTTCATTTAACATTTCATTGGTAATATCAATTTGCAATAGTTTATCTCCTATGCAGGAATATTTTTTTTTTAAATTTTAATTCAATGTATTTATAAGGAGCCATCTTCTTTTTTTCTATGTCTTCTAGGTTGATGATCCCCATTTTTATTAAGTCCCTAAATAATGAATTAATATTAATATTAATAATAAAGATCAACAAAGTCATTTTTTTTAAGGCATGTGCAATGAAGATATTTCTTATTTAGTTTTCAATTCTATATTCAATACAAATCACTATTAAAAAGATAATTACCATTTTTCTGACTTTTCATATATGGAAACTAAATCATTGTTGATATCTTGTAAATCCTGTTGTTTATCAATAATCATTATAATTAATGGGAACTCTTATACATAAATAAACCATAAAGCAAATCAAAAAATACCTGTAGATAATTAAAACCGAATTTTGGAATTTTGTTTAGAATGGCACCAAAATCTAATTGAGTAAAATTGAATTGCTCTTCTTGGTGTTCATCAGTTGGTTTTTCATTATCAAAACTATTTAAACTGCCCTCATTGATACTTTTTGAACCTTCTTTTTGAATGTTGACCAGAACTTGATTTGTTTTAGGTGAGATTGTTTGGTGAATCTTTTTTATTTCCTTAAGAATGAAGTCGACAAAAATTTTATTAATAAAAAATTTAAATTCAAGTGATATGTTATAACTGAAAATTTAGCCTCTCAGAACACTGTAATAACAGAAATGTGTGTTAGAACAAATTTTCTTAAATCCCACAGAACACCTGCGAAACTGACAAAGCAGGGCAAGTGCTCTTTTAAATCCCACAGAGCACCTGCGAAACTAACAAAGCAGGGCAAGTGCTCTTTTAAATCCCACAGAACACCTGCGAAACTAACAAAGCAGGGCAAGTGCTCTTTTAAATCCCACAGAACACCTGCGAAACTGACAAAGCAGGGCAAGTGCTCTTTTAAATCCCACAGAACACCTGCGAAACTAACAAAGCAGGGCAAGTGCTCTTTTAAATCCCATAGAACATCTGCGAAACTGACAAAGCAGGGCAAGTGCTCTTTAAATCTCATAGAACATCTGCGAAACTGACAAAGCAGGGCAGTAGTTTTCGAATCACACATAAAACAAAATCACATCACATAGGCTAAAAATTTTTTTTTAAAAAAAAAGAAAAAGATTTACTTCAAATATTTCCATGAATTTTTTTGCCCTTTTTTTCTCAACGCTGTTTCCAAATGTGAGAAAATGTTTCAACAATCTTTTGTACTTAGAGTTGGTGTTGCATTTATCTTGTCCCTTTTCTATTTGGAATACTATAAAACTTGACAAACTCCAATCCTTGGTATTTTTAAAGTAATCTAAGCAAGTTTGATCTTGAGACATATTTCTAAAAAATTTTATAGGTATTGTGATAGTTTTATTGTATTGAGAAAAGTTTTGAATCAAATGATCTTTTTTATGAGATTTTTTTTTTACGCCCAGGCTTGTGATTGGTTTATTTTATAAAAATAATGATCATTACTAAAGTAAAAAAAAAATATATTAGGTAATCGATTATATACCAAAATGCTAATCAATTTTACAAAAGATGGCTGAGCATGTTTGGGTCATACATGATGGCGAAAGTCATTTGATAAAATTCGAAACTTTCGAAAAAATCACACAAGTTTTCGAAATCGAAATA